TTTCTCAAAATAGAAAGTCTGTTGGAAAGGTGTGTATCTTTTGAATTTTTATAGTAGATATGACCAACCTCATAGGGATTGTTGGGGCTTGTCTCTGGCCAGCAGTGCATAGGGATACTATGTTGGCTTGAGGCCTTTTCCGATGGTTTGAGCTGTGCACTTTCTTTTCTGTGGCTGCTCACATCTCTTACCATCCCCTCCCCCATTAGATTATGACATTTTCTTTTTTATTCATAGATCCTCTTCTTTGTGTGTGTATGTTTTAAAGGAAGTTAGCTTCCATGTGTGAGTTTGGAATATTTTGAAGCATATTTTGTCATGAATATTTTAACATGTTAATTTAGTTGAATTTATCAATTTCTTTTGAAAAACAGTGTTTAGGTTTTTTTTTATAATATTTTAAAATGCCTTCTTCCTGAATATATGCATGTATATTATACATGTCCTTCCATTTTCTTAATTTTGTTTTAAAAATATGTTTTATCATTTGGGATTTACTTTGGTAGGAGGTATGAAGTAGAGATTCCAACTTTTTTGATTGGTTGGCTGATTTTGAAATTGGATCTTGCTGTAGCTCTTTCTAGCCTGGAACTTGCTCAATAGAGCAGGCTGGCCTGAATTTACTCCAGCCTCCCTGTATCTGCCTCATGAGTGCTGGGGTTACAGGCTACAGCTGTGTATCACTGTGCTCGTTCTCTCCCTCTCCCCATCTTCCTTTCTCCCTCCCTTCTTTCTTCTCTCTTCTCTCCATCCCTACCTACCTCTTTCCCTCTCTCAATATTTTAATAGTTGTCGCTAAAAGAAGTTCTTATTTCTTCTTGTGATCTGAAATGCTTACCCAAGAGTCTATGCACTTGGCTCCACTTCTGACTTTGTACTCTGTTCCATTGCCCGCCAATGTGCTTATGCACATTTTTTTTTGGTAGCAAAGTTTTCCTTTGGACCCCAAAGGGTCTTTGGGGGTTAGGTAGCTCATTCATATTTTTTCTATGTCTAGTTCATATTTTATTTTCAGAGTTAGGTTGTGTAGCTTCAACTGACTCTAGGTAGTTAGTGAAACCATTTTTAATAGTCCTTTGAGTTGTGTTATTGGTTCTAGACTTTTTTTTTTTTTTTTTTACTAGTACAGTCTTTTGTTTTATTTCTCTAATTTCATTCTTCCTTACTTATTGTGCTTATGTCAGGGCTTATCATCAGAGCTGAAAACCTGATGATGGAGCAAAAAAAATTTGTATATGTGATTGAATATAATGTTGAAAATTGACTACAAAAATCACAAAATTATCCCATATAGTAGCAAATATATTTCAAAATTTAAGTCGAATTAACCAGTTACATTCTATTTTAAATGCTACTCATTTGCTGTGTTCTTTTTTTTTAAATTTTTTATTAATTACACTTTATTCATTTTGTATCCCCCCATAAGCCCCTCCCTCCTCCCCTGCCGATCCCACCCTCCCTCCCCTTTCTGCATGCATGCCACTCCCCAAGTCCACTGATAGGGGAGGTTCTCCTCTTCTTTCTGATCTTAGTCTATCAGTTCTCATCAAAAGTGGCTGCATTGTCCTCTACTGTGGCCTGGTAAGGCTGCTCCCCCCTCAGGGGGAAGTGATCAAAGAGCAGGCCAATTAGATTATGTCAGAGGCAGTCCCTCTTCCCATTACTATGTAACTCACTTGGACACTGAACTGCCATGGGCTACACCTGTGCAGGGGTTCCAGGTCATCTCCACGAATAGTCCTTGGTTGGAGTATGATTTTCTGGGAAGTTCCCTGTGTTCAAATTATCTTGTTCTGTTGCTCTCCTTGTGGAGTTCCCGTCCCCTCCAGCTCTTACTATTTCCCACTTCTTACATAGAATTCCATTCACTCTGCCCGACAGTTGGCCATCAGGCTCAGCATCTGCTTTGACAGTCTATACTGCAGAAGCTTTCAGAGGCCCTCTGTGGCAGGTTTCAAGGTTGTTTCCTGTTTTCTTCTTCTGGCTTTCAGAGGCCCTCTGTAGCAGGTTCTGAGGTTGTTTCCTATTTTCTTTTTCTTCTGATGTCCATCCTCTTTGCCTTTCAGGATGGGGATTGAACATTTTAGTTAGGGTCCTCTCTTTTGCTTAGTTTGTTTAGATGTACAGATATAGTGGGTTTATTCTATATTGTATGTTTATATGAGTGAGTTTATACCATGCATGTCTTTTTGCTTCTGGGGCAACTCACTCAGGATGATCCTTTCCAGGTCCCACCATTTACCTGCAAATTTCATGATTTCCTTATTTTTCATTGCTGAGTAATTGTATAGATGTACCACAGTTTCTGCATCCATTCTTCAGTTTGTGGGGCATCTTAGACTTTTAATCACAATCCCCCTTTTTCCTGGTATAATCTCATCCATACCCTCACTGAGAGAATGTCTGTGTAGCACATGCTAGGACTTGAACTCAGGGCCCTCCTATCTTAGCCTGAGTACTGATGTTTTTAAATGTATAGTATCATGCTCACCTCATATCTTTTTTTTAATTAGGGAGCAACAGTTTACTGCGGATCCATTTGCTTTCTGCTCACTTACTTCATTTTGTGTGTTTTGTGAACCTAAATTCTGCTTTAATCTAGGCATGCTCCATTTGGAGTCAGTTGAAGTCCTGGTATGTTTTTGGTTTTGAGGTAATAGAGTTGTAAACTGTGAAAGGGAGTATCTCTTCAGATTGCAACCTTTAAGTTGTCATTTGGCTGAAGACCAGGCATGGCTAACATGAAAACTTGGGTGACCTCTAGCTAAGGAGATAGGGCGATGCACATTTGCACCTGACCCAGAGCTTGAACAGAAGAACAGAAGACAGTGCTTGTCACAGTAAATGCCACCACAGTTCATAATCTATCTTCTGTTTTTATGCTTGGTGCTTTTATTTTACAGACAGGGCAAGGGTCCTGCACACGTCTGTGTGGTCACCTCCTATGCAGAGAATAGGGTGAGATGCTGTGTTTTGATTTCAGTGCCATATAATCTCTGCTCTTTAGCCAAATAGTGGCACATGGTGTGTAATGGTATACGTAGCATTGTGCCATTTGCTCTCCTTAACAGACTTCAGAAAACATTCTTGATATATACCAACTGTGTCATTACAAAATAGGGCTGCTATATTACATCTAGTCTCTAGAGCTAAAGTTTCTCCATTGTCTGCCACTTCCCCCTTAGTCTCCAAGGTGACAGGGCCTGTGAAAATGACAAGTGATCAATCCACAGTTATTTAATGAGTAAATGAAGTATAAAATTCAGTTCATGCTGAGTGCATGTATTAAAACAATAATTTTGTTACTGATTGTGATCAGTGTTTATTTAAAACATTTCTTTGGCTGCCAACCTAAATCAGATAAGCAATGCATCTGCCTAGGCTAATATTCTAGTTATTAGCTGGGGTTACACTGGCCACTGAAGGATGTGTGTTTTCCCTAAATTAACTGTAGCCCAGCTAGTCATTAATGGCTATACGGCTCAGTTTCACCCTGTCCTTGCTCTCTGGAGGCCTGGGGAAGGTGGTAGGCCCAGAAACAACAACCAGTATCATCAGGGGAACATGTGCTGACCTTTTCTGGGCACTAGCCAGCAGAATTGCAGAATGAGCCTGCCGCCTACTCCCACACTCCTGAGGACCACACTGTGAATTTTGTGTTTGCAAGTCATGAAGTGAGGACAGGATTGCATTCCATAGAGACATTGATTTTCCTTAAAAACATTCTAGGCTCTGGATGAACTCCCTTAATCTTGGCACTCAGGAGGCAGCAGCCAAGAAGACTGTGAGTTGCTCTGAGGTCAGTCTGGGTACTCTAAAAGAACAAGGTTTGAGGATGCTGCTTAGTGGCTCTCAGGCATTGGTTTGAGCCCCAACACTGACAATAATCTGCTTGTTTTCTGGGTTTGCCATGCATTTTTTTCTCTTTCTGGTTTTCTATGTTATTTTCCACAATAGGTATTGAAGAGAGAAAGATGTAGAACTCCTCTGGGAGGAGGAGTGGGGGAATCTCATTTTAATGCTTTTGGAACACATTCATTAACAATAACAACAAACTCCCCAGCCAGAGAATGAGCTGGAGCAGGGTGCCTTTCTTTTTCCTGTGAGCACATCTTCACTCCAGCAGCAGGCTAATAGTCCTTCCATTAGCAGGCATCCCAGCTTGCAATGCAGTCTGAAGCAGAGAGGCCCTTGGACTTGTAGCTGAGCTCTAGGCCAGGGTATCAAGAAGAATAGAAACTGGGAAAGAAGCCCAAAACATGCCAGTTCATTGGCAAGTCCAGAGAGCTCTGCCTTCAAGTCCAGAGAATTCTCTGTGTAAATGGCTGGACTATTACAGTTCACTTGCAGACCACTTAGGTGCCAAGACCTGTGCTTTCCCTTTCGTTTAAATGGGCAATTTAGGAATAATAGCAGCTTTGAGGACTTTGAGGGAGACAGCAATTAGAATTTTCTCTTCTTGCCAAGATAAAGGTTTTTAAAGACACTGTCCTCTCTGAAGAGCTGCAGTTTTTGTTAACCTTGGTGGCATTGGCGAGTCTAGGTACAAAATCATCAAGCACTCTAAGATGTCCACAATTTGAATGTGCTGAAGAGATGATTGGGGTCCTTTGTACTGTAAATTGACTTAACACCGTCTTAGTCACCTCATCCAAGATCAGTTAAGAAAATGACATGTTCTTGGGCTCACCAACCACAAGACCACTAGCATTCTTTTTTTTTTTTTCCTGAAAATTTTCAAGATGGTGTCTGTTTTTGTCCTGAAGAATATTCTAGAAGACATAATACTGAACAAAAGATGATTGGAAATAGAAAAAAATTCAGTGAAATAATCTTAGTGGACAATGGTGATTTTTTTTTTAAAGGAATGTGTCTTGTTAAGTCCATTGATTAGAAAGAAAATAAGTTACTTGTTGCTAATGAAAGATGTCATTTTCCTACAGAAGTGAAGTATCGGTCACATGACATTATACTCAGAATTATCTTCCCTCTGTGTTTAGATCTTTTTCTGGAATTAAAGGACTCCAGCTCAGAGTCAGCCTCCCACCAAATGACAATTACTTCTTCTATGTGAGAGCCATCAATGCATTCGGGACAAGTGAGCAGAGCGAAGCTGCCCTCATCTCCACCAGAGGTACGTTGGCTTAGTGCAGAGCCAGGGTATCTGGGTGTTTCCATCCCCCCACCTTCTGCCATCCAGAGGAGACACCTAAGGCAACTTCAGAAAGCTCCCATCTGCTGTCAGTGAGAGGGTTTGTTATGAGTTCCCAAGACAGATCCAGCATCGAGATGTTTCTTTTGCTTCCATTCTTCATAGATTTCCATGCTTTGCTGTGTTTGGCAATAAGTCAGGGTGCTTAAAACACTGATCCCCGGCGTGACCTCAGAGGGATGGACTTATTTTTCTCTGGAGATGGGCAGGCTGGAACATGTGTAGGCTTAGGAGTCTTCCCATGTGCTTCATGGTTTGCTTACTGCTCTGTAATTTGTAGGTATGGGATGTGTGCAATGATTTTCTAATTCTGTTAGCCTTTGAACTCTGTGACAAGTTTCTAGTTTTGTTCTGCTTATCCTCATTTGTGCTAATTAATGTTTGTCAAATGGGTGAACAAATGAATGGAACAAATGAGTAATTCAACTAAGTGACAAAACGGTTCGGTAACATTTGGGGGGAGGGAATCCCCAGAGAACATTAACCAAAAGCATTTGGCTGCTTTGAGGAGTGAGGAATCGGAAGGTAGTAATTATGCTGCCTTACCTTAGATCCACAGATGGCACAAGATTGAGGGGTCACACTAAATCACCATGTTATGCCCTGTATGTGATGCCAGTAGGACCTACCTGAGTTATAGGAAAAGGTGGGAGGTCTGCCTATCCAGGAATTTCCTCCAACCATCTCAGCACACTGCTTGCACATTCCATCAATGGAATCCCTATAAGCTGTTTTAATATGCTCCCAATTTTAAATCATGCTCAGTTGAGCATCTTGTCCAAGTAGACATTCAGGGTCAGTAGATCCAGGGTAGGGTCTGCATTTCCAGGTGATGTGGATGGTACAAAGACCATGCTTTGCCTGGCATAGCATCCACCTGTGTGGGCCCACCTGCACCTGCAGCAGCAGGTGGGCATGACCAGCCCCGGGTGCCCACTAATGCTTGCTCACAAATGGAGTTTTAGCTGTGAAAAGTACCAGGTCAGGACTTCTGACTTCAGGAGAATGGGAGCCTAGGGTTTGAAATGTATGTGTTGGCCTAGTGCTTAGCAATGTGACAGTGTTGTCATCTTTTCTTTACTGCCGTAGGAACTAGATTTCTCTTACTGAGAGAAACAGCTCACCCAGCTCTCCAGATCTCCTCCGACGGGACGGTGATCAGCTTCTCTGAGAGGAGACGGCTGACGGAGTAAGTAAAAGAGGCAAGCACACTGGGCGGACACCCCATCCTGCACTCAGGATCAGTTTCCTGAGCGTCACATCACCCGAATGCCTTCTTGGTTTAATGAGCTCGCTCGGTTATGGAAACGTGCGGTGTGGAGTTGGGCGAATGGTCACTACTTGGAACAAGTGTCAACATTTTTATTGGGACCATAAGTGCAGATGGTTTTGGTTGAAACACTGTCTGCTTTTAAGATGTTATCTCTGGTTCAGTGAAAAACAGAAATCCAGTAATGGTTCTGTTATTTTCAATAGCAACCCAGGTGTCAACTGCTTGGATAGGAATAGGATAAGTTATTGAGTTCTTAGTTCTGGCCACAAAATCTTGTCCTCCAGTACCTTCCACAAAAGCTAGTGATATCAAAAAAACATGAGCCAAACAGCTTGGGCTGGGTAGGAGATTGCCTGCCAATTTGCCTGCTCTATCTCTCTATTTCTTGCTGTCTTCTGTCTTTTTGTTTTTCTGTCTCTGTCTATCTCCTTTATCTCTCAGCTATTTTGAGGGTTGAAGTGGCTAAATTGGAGAAAGTATGGGTAAAGCTTTTGAAATACATGCTGCAGAGGACACTGATATGCACAGGTGTAGGCTGCCAGTAGGAGCAGCGGTGAAGCGTTCGCCCCTGTGCCTGGTGACTTGTACATGCTAGGGTCCCATCTTGGTGCTCTACTGTCCACTGCCAGATTTAGGTGTTGCTTGCTCCTGCAAATGGCCAAGTATTCCCCTGGCCCCAGGACCTCTGATCTGTATCCATGAGGCTGTTTACCCATCATTTAATCACGAGTAATTGCTGGTCAGCAACCCTGTCTTATGTCTCTTTGAATTCCCACAATCTAGCATAGGGATTGAAACATTGTAGGTGTTCAAAATATACCTGTTTAAAAAATGATTGAAGAATAGATGGAGTGAGGCTGGAGAGATGCCCCATGGTTAAGAGAACCTGCTATTCTTGCAGAAGACCTGAGTTAGGTTCCCTGCATCCATGTTGGGATGCCCTCTTCTGGCCTCTGTAGACACCTTCACTCGTGTTCACATATCCACGCAGAGACACATAACAACACATACACATAATTTAAAAAAAAAATTGTAAAACAAAACAAAACCCATGGGATTTCTCCAAAAAAGAATAATAACAAAAAAGAAGTAGACTGGATAGTTTGGACTTGCAGGAGTTCATAGATGCTATCTGATGGAAACTGGGATATATTTTATAGACTTTTGTTTATTTATTATTAGTAAGAAAATCAGCTCATAAATATCAGCAAGCCTGGCTTTGCTCCAGGGAGTGAGGGCTTGTCAGTTGGTACCTCTCTGAAATGAAGTTATTGGGTAAAGACATAGAACAAATAAAATACAAGACTTGTATTAATCATTTTCTCATCTATTCAAGGGTAGAGGGAGAGAGCGCTGCCGGAATGTTAACACTATCAAGTTAAAAACAATACCTCCTTGCTGTCTCAGCACTTTCTAACAAAACTGAGCAACCCACATAAACAAGGCCACCTGTCTATGGTTGAAAGTGGTTGGGTTTTTTTTCCCTGTGCTCTTTATCAAAATAGCTATGGTCAGGCAGAAAGAGGCCTTGAACTCACTTTCCAGGGACACCTACAGTCATGAAAGCGACTCCCCAAAGTCACTGGTCATGATGCTCAGTTCTATACCTCGTGCGGGCCATGCTACCTGGTCATGACATTTGAAAGCTCTGTGCTACAGGACTGCAGTCACAGGAAGGTCAGCACATACTCAAACTCAGTTCTAGAAGGTTTGAAAGCCTGAGCTTGATTGTGTGCACCTGTAATCCCAGCAACCAGTGGCTGAGGCAGGTGGATCATATGGTTTGAGGCCAACCTGAGCTATATAGTGAGCCTATGTGTCAGAAATGCAAAATGTGAAAGATTTTGGAGGTTGCATTTTTAGTTTTGCAGATTTTGGAAGAAGAAACCTTTGTCAGCCATGCTCTCCCACCTGCCTGTGTTACCTTCCTTCTGCTTCCCTAAAAACAGAGGTTATAGAATTTCTTTTCCTTCTTATCATTATTCCAGTCATCTCCTGGTTCCCAGGCTCCTTAAGAGACACAGTGTACCACATGTGCATGCTGCAGGACAGTAGGCATATGTCAAATGCATGTTGGAGGTAGATGAATCCTGGGGCAATCTGGCCAGAGTTAGAAACATAAGGAGAAGAAGGTGTCTTTAGTCAATTGCTGGTAATTTCTGAAGCTAGACCCCTTCCTAAAGGGCATGTAAGGTTGATGTTCATGAAACACAGGCTGGTGATCCCTGTGAGAAGCCTCATCTGGTCAACTCTGCTTGCAGGATCCCCTCAGTGCTGGGTGAGGAGCTGCCTGCCTGTGGCCAGCATTACTGGGAAACCACAGTCACAGACTGTCCTGCATATCGACTTGGCATCTGTTCCAGCTCAGCTGTGAGGGCTGGTGCCCTGGGACAAGGGGAGACCTCATGGTACATGCATTGCTCTGAGTCACAGAGGTAAGCTGGGGCCCTGCCTCTCCTAACGTAATCCATAGGTCAATTACAGTGTCTAGGCAGGAAGCTTTGAGCAACCTAATGAGCAGCTTCCCATGTCTTTGCCCAAGTTCTAAATAAGTAAGACAGCAACTGTAAAGTGTATGGCAGCTAAAGCATCACTCTGATTCTGCAGAAACTAGACAGGAGGACATCCTATATCAACATCATTACCACACAGATTTAGCCAGCCCGAAGCCATGTTAGAGTCAGCCTTCCTGCTCTGTGAGGCACAGTTGCTCTCTGGAGAGGCAGAGTAGAGTGTATGTCCCCTCACCAGCCATGACAAAGAGACAAGGAGAGGAAGACTCTGGCAGTTTTCCCTTCTAACCTTCTCCCAGGAGGAGAGAAGTGCCACGGTGGTTCTCAGAGGGCTTCCTCTACAGAGAAGGAGTTGGCAGAAATGAGAAAGGTGCTTCCCCAGCTCTCTGCCCAGCTTTCACTTATAACAGAGCTGACAAACTATAGCATATAGGGCCAAACTTGATCCCATGCTCACTTTTAGTAAATAAAGTTTTATTAGAAAACAGTCTCTTTATAAATAAGTTTGCCAAACCCTGGTTTCTATGATTCCTATTGTTTGGCAGGTGAATGTTGAAAGCCATTAGCCATTGGTCTTTAGGACTAATGATGTGATCTCAGTATGCTTACAGGATGGTCTGATTTTCATCCTGGCTTTACCTTTAATTCTGCCACCTATTGGTTACTCTCCATGAGTTGGTTAGCCCTTGGAGCAGTTCTTTATGCAATTCAAATGCTTGGTAGGATTGAGGCCTGACCTTTTGGGGTTGTAGCATGACATAAAATCAGAGACAAGGAGAAGCTTTGGCATTGTAATTTGTCTCCTAAGTGGCAGACATTATTCAAATACAAGACTTTAAACAAGAAGCTGTCTTTTGGGGGCTCCTGCATCTCAGCTGAGGCCCCCAGACTGGGATTTCACATATCTTCAGCTGCACATTTCCCCCCACATTCTACTTGACAGTTCTGATTCTCTGAGATGGTTCATAAGGATGCTATTTAAAGCTGCATTTCATCAAGTTAGAATAATTATGATTAATTGATATTCAGTGCTGAGCTGAGCTTAAGGAATCAACCATGCCCAGAGTTTAAAATCATTTAAACCTTGAGTTTACAGTTAGAAAATTATCAGAACCCAACATAGGTATTAATTTCATTTTTAAAAATTCTTTCCAGGCTAGGAAGATGGCTCAGTGGGTGAAACTGCTTGCTATGCAAGCCTGACCAGCCTGAGTTCCATCTCTGGAATCCATGGCTAAAGGGGAGAATTGCCAGAAGCTCTGCTCTGACCCTGGCACACATGCATAGGAATCCCAAATTCCTGGAGCTTACTTTGTAGAAGACAGAATTGTATATTTTGTGACAGGTCCTATCTACAACTCTGGTCACTGGTTCTTTCAGACCCAGTGTGAGCTACTGGAAAGCAAATATATCCTTGCGGTCACAGCGCAGAGGCCAGTCTCAGGCTCTGACAATGTTATATGAGGCACCGTGGCCTTTAGGATTCTGGGAGAGTGGTGCAGCATACCCACCTGTGGGCCTCAGCTTTCTCGTGACTTTAAACCAGCTCTATGCCTTGATTGGACCTAAGCATGAAGATGGTTTTGAGAGACATCAGAGGTTCCATTCCTGGTCCCTCCTAACTCTATGTGCTAGTTCAAGGCCATTCATCCTTGATCAGTCTCATCCTAGCCATGCCATCTGTGTCTAAGATGCCCTGGCTACTGCAAGCAGACAGTGTTTTATAACTTATTTCATCATATCAGTCCATAAATATCTCTGGCGGTAGCAGAACTCAGATAGAGGGGCACTTACAGGACACAGTGAAGAAGGAAAACCAGAAAGCTTCCCTAAAGGAGGAGAAAGCTAGAGGAAAGTTGTCTCCAGTGTGAAAAGGGTCCGGCTGAGCCTAGGTCAGCTCATGTTTGGGTGGTCAGAGACCCAGGGCGTCAAGGTCAGGTTCTGGGTGATTCTTGTTTGAATAGCGACCAGCAGTCCCAAATAGGAACTGGCAAAAACTGAGCATGGGGGTGGGATATGGGGGTGGGGTAGGGTCATGCCCGAGCAAGATTAAAGAAAGCCAACTCCAGCAGAGGGAAGCCTGGTTTGGCTTAGGCTTTCCTCTCCAGGTTATTTGGCCTGGTTGGTTTGGACCTGTGACAGCACACTGCAGAGGAAGACAGTTTGCCTCATCAAGGCCACTGAGCAGAAAGAAAGGAAGGAATCATGGCTCACTACCTATGTCAAAGGGCTCCCCCAGTGCCCTAATTTCCTGCCATGAAACCCTGCTTCCTAAGGAATCCACCCTCTGTCTTTGCACAGGGTGCTGGCCAGGGCTGTAGCACAGGGATACAGGCCTGTGATAACCACATGATTCCACTGGAGGAGTAATGTGCTAAGGAGGAAACAGCAGAAGCAGGGACACATTCCAGGCCCTTTAGCGCTGATGGAGTCAAGACTTGACGGGGTATCTTCCTCTCTTGTCTCCATATTGGGGGCTGTCTTGGAACCAATTGGTGATTGGCCTTTTGGGAATAGGCCTTTCCAAGCCACAGGTGAAGGGCATCAGCTCATTTGGTCATTCAAAACCCTCTAGACCAGTGGTTCTTAACCTGAGGGTCATGACCCCTTTGGGGGGTCTCTTAAAACTATTGGAAAACGCAGATATTTATATTACAATTCATAACAGTAGCAAAATTACAGTTATAAGGTAGCAATGGAAATAAGTTTATGGTTGGGGTCACCACAACATGAGGAACGGTATTAAAGGGTTATAGTATTAGGAAGGTTGGGACCCACAGATCTAGACCTATGTTGTACATAGTACCTTCAATAATAATGATAATCATCATCATCATTATCATCTGCCTTTACAGCTTTTGGCTGATGAGACTGAAAATCACAATTTTATATATTGTTAAATGTTCATTTTAATTTAAATGGCCAGATGCAGCTAGTGGCTATTTGGGACTGCTAGTCTCTCTCTATTCAAACAAGAATCACCTGGAACCTCAAGTCTTAATACCTGTGCGATCCCGGACCTGCCAACCCTGGGATCTCTGCCACCTTGAAGACACTTCCCAGACCTATGATGGTGTCCCATGTCCTCTCCCACTGCCAGGCAGATGGCTATGTTCTTCCCTACACCTTGCCTATTCTGCTGTCTCAGTCCACTCCTACTGCTCTCTCTCCTGAGCTTTCTCCTTCCTCTTCCCCCCACTCTGGTCCTGTCCATTCCTGATGGGCTAGGGTGAGTCTCCACACCCCCAGAGGGCCCAGGGAGGACTGAGGCACACAGACATTCCCATGCAATACCTGTGAAGTGTTTGTATTGGGGAGAGACACTGAAGGCAACCCTTCTGGCTGTAAGGCTGCTGAAAACTTAGGATAAAAAGGGAAACTTGGTCTGGGCAAGGGGAGCTTATTCATATCTTGAAGTTGGCAAAACTAATGGCATTGCTCTTGAACTTCATAAAGGCCCTTATGTAAGTTCCCTATAAATCTTTAAAACTGTAAAATTAATACATTGTATGGAAGGGAAGCCCACAGTACTGTTTAAATACATGGCAGCCTCAAAGGAGTTTTATTCAGAAGAATGACACACCATGAATGCGGCAGTTAAAACATGTGGGCAGCTGGAAAAGAATTAGAATGTGGAGAAAAATCACAAAGGGGGCATTTGCTGGTTATTCTGGGCCTGCCCCCCAGCACGGAAGGAGTAGATGGTTAAAACCCACCTCTGCTGGGATAAGCCACGCATTCCAGTGCTTAGAAGGACTCTTGCAAAAGTACTTTGGACAGCATTATTGCAGCTTGTTACTGTGAACCGAATTGACAAAGTGAGGCCTTGATTCTTTCCAAGCGATTTTTTTCTTATTAAATCTTAAGGATTTCCAGAGATTTTAAAAACTGACTTTCCCATTCTGTTTCATTTTAGGTACACATTTTTCTACAGTGGCATTCTGAGCGAGGTACATGCGACCGAGCGCCCAGCCAGAGTGGGCATTCTGCTGGACTACAGCAACCAGAGACTTGTGTTTATAAACGCCGAGAGTGGACAGCTGCTCTTCACCGTGAGGCACAGGTTTAGTGAGGGTGCACACCCTGCCTTTGCTCTGGAGAAGCCTGGGAAATGTACTCTGCATCTGGGCTTAGAGCCCCCAGATTCTGTCAGGCACAAGTGATCCTGAGCACTCAGAGTTTCTAAGAGTAAGAAGTCAAGTTTGGGGAAGAGAGCTGTCATTCTCTCTCATGCTCTGCATATTATTCAGATATACACACCTGCAGTAGTACAGGCTATGCATGCCACTGTCAGTGTGTGACAAAAGCCAGGGACATGGTGACTTACGGCACAGTGTGTGAGAGGCTGGAAATGGAGCCTCCATCCTTTGGTTGAGTTGTTTCATAAATTCAAAGGATTTACACTTGACCCAGGAACCAAAACCAGAGAAATGGACTACCTGCTATATTGATCAAACAATTTCCCAGGTAGCTAGGTCAGAGGGGAGGGAAGGTTGTGTTACTGGCACATCACCTCTGACAAAGAGACATCGACTCTGCCACAAGAAAATGTCACCTTACTTCACTAGAGGATGAGTCCTAGTCACTAGAGAAGATGCTTTAGCTGATCTAAATTTACAATGAATTTTTATTATCACATATGCTATAAAGCGAAGCCTCACTTCTCTGAAACTGGAAATGTAGAAAAGTACTAGATATCAGAGATTTCCATTTTGTTAAATAAATGGCTAGCATCTTATAAAATAAAATATATTGTGTGAACTTATTGCACGTGACGTATCAGCCTGGCATCTCAGACAAGACACAGCAGAGAGAAAATACCCATCACATTTTAGGGAGCAGTGTTACCATGGATTCTCATCAGATAGCTTAGCACACAGATTTTTTTTTTAAAATAAAAGTGCTCTCAGCCCATAGAGTGTATATAGTTGTTCATAAAGCCAATTATTAGGAGTTGTAAATCTCTCTTTATGAAAAAATACTCTTACTTGTTTTTTAGATGTTGTACTCAAAGTCCTCAAAATCTTCCTAAAGTATGTGTAAAAAATATTTTTTAATCTAGAAGGTGTGCTGATTGATCTTCTCTTGGGGATGTAAATGCTTTCTTTAATCATATTTAGGATTTTGTAGGATTTTTAGTAATACTCACTGTGTAGTCCTGGCTAGCTTGGAGTTCGCTATGGAGGCCAGGCTGGTCTCATACTCAGAGGTCTGATGGCCTCTGCTCTTGAGTGCTGGCATTAGAAGCACATGCCTCTGTGATTGGCAGTTCAGTTATTTTCTTGACTTAAGAAATCACATTTAACATTTTCTTTGATACATTCTAAAATGTATCTAAAATGGGGTTTGGGTTTTTTTTTAATAGCTAGAAAACCCAATCTCTCCAATCTGTATCTGCTCCTGCCCTATAGAGCCCCTGACACCTCTTTTTCAAATTAGAGCAGCTGTTGGCAAGATGGTTCTTGGTGAAACTGCAGGAATACCCTGCTGCCTGTGGTGAATGTAATCCCCACTTTTATTCAAGACTCGGAAGTGTTTGCCTTGGGTTCTGACTGATGAGCCACCATGCTTTTTTTTTTTTTTTTTTTTTTTTTTTTTTTTTAACAATGAGGATGTTAATGTAGCTTTTAAAGACAATACCAGTTTAAGCAATCACATGGACTTTAGAGTTTGTTTGGGTTTCTCCAGATGTAGACCTAAAACTTAGCATTACCTGTTCATATAGATTCCAAGGAAGGGCAATCAAGGAATTGGGCAAAGTGAGAAGGCAGCTCTGGCAGGCAATGGTCTGGGGTTACTTTAGCTGGAGGTCACATGGAAAACAGCAGAGGTGAACATGCAACAAGCCTCAGCGGCTGGAAGTTTTCCTGAAAGGCATGTCATGTGAAAGCACATACTACTTCTGGCATGGATGCAGATCATCATAGTTAGTAAAGGAGATGTGAGAAAAGAAAAGGAAAATAATGCTGCGGTTGTGTTCTCTCTCCCTTCCTCCTTCCCGTGTTTCTGCATATCCACTTAGCAACACTGAATGGGCACTGAAACATTGCCATCCATAACCTCACAAACCAACACAAATGCTTTAAAGATCAGACACCATCATTTTGAAATGGGCAACATCCTTCAGATCTCATGGATTTCTGAAATCCCTTCTCAACACACTGTGTTTATGAACCAATACGTGTCCAGTTGCTGAGAGAAAGTGTTCACCTTGTCTCCGGGCTTAAACCTTCACCACTGTGTAATTGAAGCCTTGGAACCAAAAAGCTTAAATCTTGTTTGTGGTAGTGATGGCATGTTGTGGTGAGACTCTAGTCATGTGACTAGCCCTAACCTTTGAATCTCAGCTCTCTGACCATGCTTCACCAAAACCAAGCATAAATTAAATACTCAATGATTATTATTAAGTCATGCTCACAGGCCAAGATACTGTGTTCTGAAATGATAAGTGGTTACATGACTATAGAATATCACTTGTTTTCAGACTTTAGGGTCCCTGACACTGCCCAAGGGTCAGTGGCTCTGCAGGGATGCATGCTTTCAATTAAAAGTGGCCTAACTCTTGCTAGAAATGTATGGTCCTATAGTCCATCCTAGCTGCTAGGATGTTTCCATAATGTGGTCAGTAAAATCAACATGAGGGCATGACAGTTAGGGCATGACACTTGCTGCTGAATTTGAAGTCCTGAGTTTGTAACCAAGAATCCACATGGTGAAAGGAGAGAACCAATAAAAGCTCTGCATTTGCAAGGTTGATCATGACTTAAGAAATGACTTAAAAAGCAAGCAAGTAAGCAAAAAAGAAAAAAACAACAGACTCCTGCTTTGGGTTCTGTATCCATGATTTGAAACTGCCCTTGGTATGTGGGATGGTATTCCACAGAGATGCCTGGAACCCAGCATGCCATCTGATGGGAAAGCCAAGTAGGCATGGGTTCAAACTCCATAACCCATTTCACATGGCTTAATACATTTGATAAGAGGGCGTCTGTGTTTCAATGACTGGATTACATTCTCTGTTGACTCAGGGTGATCCAAGAGGCTGTACTCTCCCATTCTGGAGAGGATCTATCTCTTTCTATCCACATTCAGATATAACACTGACCGTACAATGTTCTGCCTCCTAGCCCAAAGTTCTGGATGTCTTGTCTATGATTACATTTTTCTCTGCTTTCAGATTTCTCCCTCCTCACCTCTGGTCATTTCATCACTGTGCCATTTTTCCTAGGCCCTTTTGGTCAGTATTGTCCCCAGACACAGAAATGGTGCCTTTGAATGTCTTACAGGACACTAACACAAGGCTGTAGTTGACATAACTTGGGTTAAGACTTGGGGCTATATCTGGGCATCATGGCTCACACCTTTAATCCTAGCATTTGGAAGGCAGAGGCATGTGAATCTCTTGAGAGTTTAAGGCAGATTAGTCTACATAGTGAGTTCTAGGACAGCTAGTGAGACTTATAAAAAAAAAAAAGATTTGGGGCCAGTGGGGGACATTTTCAAAGAACACAAAACACTCAGCTGAAACATTACCTTTGTTCAAAGTCTCTTCTGATCTTGTCTTCAGCGTGACCTTCCTGCTGTAGCAAACAGCCCCTTTCTGCTTAACTTTGTTTCTTTACACTTCCAGCTTCTTCTCTCTTGAGTTGGTTTTGTGGGTTTTTTTTTTTTTTTTAGGTCAGACAGTGGAACTAGAAAACATCAAAATGGGAAAACCTCTCACTAGAATAGACATCTTTTGTAACAATCTGAGAGCAAAATATGCCTTCTTTGTATCTGCCTCTTTTATCTTCCACAAGTCTCTGGGCCTCTCAGAACTAAGAGTTGCATTAAAGCAATTCCTTATACTCAGGGATATTTATCTTCGCGGACAAGTGGATCTTCCAGGCTGAACCCCCCCAATACCATGAAGGACCTCACTCCATAGAAGACTTCAGAGAGAGGTGACAGTCTGCATGGCTGTGTGTGTCTTTGGGGATTGCCATAACTGGGGTGATGAGGGAACGAAGAAAGGACAGACACCCTGAAACATACACAAAAGTTGGTATCTGGTGGGCTGTGCCCACTCTGGTGAGTGGCACTCACTGTAACAGCAGCCTGGAACTTTAGCCTGTGTATTTAATACATAAGAATTGAGGAGGCAGGCTTATTGTATATGGTTGAATGAGGATGTAGGTTTAACTGAAGTCTTTGTAGGAGAACAGGCACCCTGGAGGGGACAGCTGGGGCTGCTGGCTCCCACACTCAATGCCAACATCAGTACTTGAAGCACAGGAAAGATCTGCCATCCCTCTGAGCCTCAGAATCTCACCTAGGGAAGGCTTTGCCAGTCTCACAGTCTGATGAATTGGTGTCCTTGACATGGCTGTACGCATGCCAATAATATACGTTCACTCAGGACTTCAGCAACACCTTACACATTTACTCAAGGCTTCCTTCACTCCCTGCAACAGCCTTCTAGAGCCAACATGCTGTTTAGATATTTTAAAATGTTAGGAGAAGTAGGTGAAATAACTACAAAAGGAAGAAATCAGGAAACAGGAAAGGAAAAGCACAGTTAGTTCATTGACCACATTTATTGATTCTTATTGTGGTGGTGGTGGGGGTCATTACATGAGAGATGTAGTTTCTTATGTTTTTTTTTTTTTTTTTTTTTTTTTTTGTGCTGTCTCTCTCAATGTTAAACAGGAGTTTTCTAAAGGCCCCTGGGGCTGGCCTTTGCCAGGTCTCAGCTCCTGCAGAGAAAGGTCCAAAAAGGCCTCATGTAAGGAGAGAGATGAAAAGACACTCATTGTTTTCCTCTCAGCGCTGCCCAGGAACTCTGTAGCCCTGTTCACTCCCTGCTTCAAAAGGAGCAGCCCCCACGGCCTGGTTGCTTAGAACCCCTAGGGAAGCCATATTGTTGTATCCAGGTTGACTTTGTGCTGAGCACCCTGCTAACCCTCCCTGGCAAAGCAGCGACACCAAAGATGGAGAAAGGCAGGTGCAAAGGTTTCCCATCATTTCAACTGCACCATTTTGCAGTTCCAGGAAAGGTGAAAGGAAGTTGTCACCCAAGGAGGTGGCTAGCTCAGCAGGACTTCAGATGTCTCCTACATGCAGGCAAGTGTGTGTACACATGTGTAAATATGTCTGGCTGTTTAATGTGTGTGCATATATGGAAAGTGTGTGTTCACTGGGGTTGAAAGAGTACAGGGTCATAATTATCACCAGAGTGCATGGTTGGTTTTCCTGAAGATCTAAAAGCTGAGCTTATTAGTATTTCCCCAAAAGTCAGGGTGCTTGTGTCCTACATTAACCAACCCATGGAAACTTGACAAATCAGGATGGCAATTGTGTGACTTGTATAAAATCGAATGTCCAAGGTGGCTGGAGAACATGTACCCACTGGCCAGAGGTTTCGTTTCATTGGGACCCCCAGGCTGCATTGCCCACAGGCTCCCAACTTGGTTTGGTGCTGGGCTGCACGCTGCTTCAGACTACTTTCCTCCCAACTTCCACATACCCTGGAGAAGTGCCAGGCCTGTTGAGGGTTGCTTGGTGATCAAGGCAAGTTAAGTGGATGACGGTCGTGGTCAGCATTCCTGAGCCAAGTGGCCACAGGCCCAGATCCATTTGGGTTTACTTGTCTGTCTGTTCTTCCTGTAGCAGCATAGGGATCCCCTGAAAAGCTCATGTTTTGAGGCATTCCTATGTCTTCTGCCCGAGTTCAAAGCAATC